TTTGAGTAAGTCGCGCGTGTAGGCTGGACCGGGCGCGCGTGAGGGCAGCACCACGATGGTGAGCGCGTGTCGTAGCAGGGTAGAGGTGGTGGTAGAGGTGGGAGGTGGGAGAGGTTGGAGGTTGAGATGAGGAATGGAGGAAGGTTGAGGTGAGGAAGAGAAGAGTGGGACGGAATGAAGTGAAGGAGACGGGTACGGGCTGAGATTTATGGAAGAGCGCGGAGCGAGTGAAGTGGAAGAGAGAAGACGGTTTGGAGCAGCTGGACGGCTTTTGAAGAAGGTCGACCAAGCTCAGGTTCCCTGCAGGTCTCCAGCCACTCAGGAAGACCGATTCGCGTATGCGTTTGCGCTATGCCGCGTTCGTCCTGAGTGAGACAGCGCCCGGAGGCATCGGAATAGCGGCTTGGCAGGTGTGCACGGATGACCTGTTGCAGCTCACGTGACACTCGCGACTGTCGGCCTGCTTTTTGCTTGCAAAGACCTGACTTTGCTGTGCTTCGAGATTTGAAACGCAGAATCAGTCGGGATGATTAAAATTTTGAGGCTGACGTCGGGTGGGTCAGATGACATCACGTGCCAGCGGGGGGCTGGGAGTTGTCTGCCGAGGCTGTGCCGGTGGCTTGGCATGTTTGTCCGGAGCGGATGCAAACTAGGGCAAGCTGGAAAATATCCGCGACGGGGACGCGCTCTGGGATAGGTGGGCCGCGAGTTGTCAGTATCCAAGCGTAGTAATCCCTTCCTCTACCCCTCGAACCCCACGATCCCAAACAGACCACACCACAATACGTCAAGATGCAGGCTCCAGTGGTGGTTATGAGTGAGTGTTCTGCAAGTCTGGAGCTTGCTGAAGCTACTAACGTGCGCATCAGACACTCAGTCGGGGGAGAGGCAGTTTGGACGTAAAGCACAGCTCTCCAACATCACCGCCGCGAAGACGTAAGTCCTGCGGCTGCCACTCAATCGTACAGCTACTTACGGCAAATAGGGTAGCAGACATCATCAGATCATGTCTCGGTCCCAAGGCGATGCTGAAGATGCTCCTGGATCCCATGGGCGGCATCGTCCTCACCAACGACGGCCACGCCATCCTCAGAGAGATTGAAGTCGCGCATCCGGCAGCCAAGAGCATGATTGAGCTGAGCAGGACGCAAGACGAGGAGGTCGGCGACGGTACCACGAGCGTCATCATATTAGGTATGTCCACTGGAGCCAGCAGCTAGGAGTTGCGGCATGTTGACAAGTACCAGCTGGTGAGATGCTCGCACAGTCTCTGCCTCAACTCGAACGCAACATCCACCCTGTCGTCATAATCAACGCGTTCAAGCGTGCTCTGAGCGACGCTCTCGAGATAATAGAGAGCATCTCCCTCCCAGTCGACATTCACGACGACCAGGCCATGTACTCCCTCATCTCCTCTTCCATCGGAACCAAGTTCGTTTCTCGTTGGTCGGAACTCATGTGCAGTCTTGCATTGAAAGCTGTGAGGACCGTTTCGCTGGAACCTACCCCTGGCAGGCAAGAGGTGGACATCAAGCGCTACGCCAGAGTGGAGAAGATACCCGGTGGAGAGATTGAGGACAGCTGTGTGCTTGACGGAGTGATGCTGAACAAGGACATTACCCACCCGAAGATGAGGAGAAGGATCGAGAACCCAAGAATTGTGCTGCTGGACTGCCCGTTGGAGTACAAGAAGGGAGAGTCGCAGACCAACATCGAGATCAGCAAGGAGGAGGACTGGAACCGGATATTGCAGATTGAAGAGGAGCAGGTCAAGATCATGTGCGAAGCGATAATAGCGGTCAAGCCCGATCTCGTCATCACGGAGAAGGGTGTCAGTGGTAAGTTGAATCGATGAGCGCACAGTTGGAGCCAGCCAAGCTGACATGTTACAGACCTCGCTCAGCACTTCCTCGTCAAGAACAACATCACCGCCCTCCGGCGTGTCCGTAAAACCGACAACAACCGTATCGCCCGCGCGACCGGCGCAACCATTGTCAACAACGTGCAATCCCTCCAGGAATCCGATGTTGGCACACACTGCGGTCTGTTCGACATCTCCAAGATTGGTGATGAGTACTTCACCTTCTTGACCAAGTGCAAGGACCCCAAGGCCTGCACCATCCTCCTCCGCGGTCCTTCCAAGGACATCCTCAACGAGATCGAGCGCAACCTGCAGGACGCTATGGGCGTAGCGCGCAACGTTGTCTGGAACCCGAGACTGTGCCCGGGCGGTGGTGCAACCGAGATGGCCGTTGCCGTCGGTCTGGAGAAGAAGGCGAAGTCGGTCGAGGGTGTGATGCAATGGCCTTACCGAGCAGTCGCCGAGGCCATGGAAGTCATTCCCAGAACGTTGATCCAGAACTCTGGCTCATCGCCCATCAGGGTGCTGACCCAGCTCCGCGCCAAGCATGCGGAGAGCGAGGATGGCAGCACCTGGGGCATCGACGGCGACCTGGGCAAGCTGGCTGACATGAAGGAATACGGCGTTTGGGAGCCTCTGGCTGTCAAGGCGCAGAGCATCAAGACGGCGATCGAGAGCGCTTGCTTGCTGCTCAGAGTTGACGACATTGTCGCCGCCAAGGCAGCGAAGCAGCCCAGTGGTCCCATTGGTGGTGGCGGAGAAGAGTAGAGAGCTGTTAAAGCCAAGTCGGGTGTGTAAAAAAAGAACCATTGGCTGCCATAAAAGCAGTTTGTAGCATAGAAAGCTGCATTGTACCACCCTTCAGGCAAGTTCGGCTCCAGACGTTTCCTCGCGATCTTTACGCTGAAGCGATCGAACTCGGTCGGCGTATTCGAATGTGATTTCGTTCTGGCAAGCAGGGAATTTGGTAAGCCACGCTCGGTGAAGATACGCGATCCCCGATCAGGACAAAACTGTGACTCGACTACCCTGCATCCGTCTAACACTTACAGTCGAAGATCTTGCATTTGGGATCGTCTTTACTGCAGTTGCTATATTCGTGATGTGAACTTATCCCCAAGAACGAGGCTGACATTTCTTTATTTAACGGTGGGGTCGTCTTTGTCAGATCTTCAATGGCCTTTGTGCCTATTGTCTCTTGTTTCCTATTGTGCCCACTACAAAAGAAGAGCCTGCCCCCACTAACTTCCAAGGCCATTTGCCGGCCTCAGCCGCTTACTTACGACGGAGAAAAAGCATGAGAAACAAAAGTAAATGCGTTGCTTCTTGATTTCTTTTATGTCAATGGATACTCACGTCAACATGCGTTCCTTTATTCTCTATGGCATCGCCGCCTGGGCTGGACTCAGCGCGGCGAGCCCTTTTCAATTCCCAAACAGTACAAACGGGAGCACAATGTACAACAACACAACTTCTACAAGTCGCTCGCTTTCCTCAAGTACGACGTCTTGGGTGAGCTGGACTGTACCCAGCCCAACGCTACTTGGAACGACAACCATTCAAGCCTCCGCAACCAACAAAGCGCACGCCGGTCTCACGACACGGGTATGCAACAACTCACCCGCCCTCTGCTCCCGGTCCTACGCCAACATCACCCACCTGGGCGCCCATGACAGCGCCTTCATCCGCGACGCAGCAAACGGCTACAACAGCTTCGGCGATCAGTCGTACAACACGACGACCCAACTCGACGCCGGCGTGCGCCTCGTCAGCGCGCAAGTGCACCTGATCGAAACGGCCAACGGCGGCCGTGAATGGCACCTCTGCCACACAACCTGCGTCCTCTCCAACGCCGGCACGCTCTCAAACTGGCTCTCTGAAATCCGCCAATGGCTCGACACGCACCCGTCCGACGTCGTCACCATCCTCCTCGTCAACTCGGACAACGCCAGCGCCGAGGAACTGGCAGCCGAATACACAGCCGCGGACATGGCGCACTACGGCTACGTCCCGCCGGCCTCGACCCCCAACACCGGCGCCGGCCTCATCTGGCCCACGCTCAACGACCTCGTCGACAAAAACACGCGCCTCGTAACCTTCGTCGCGGACCTCCCCGACAACAGCGCGGCGCCCTATCTCCTCGACGAATTCGCCAACGTCTTCGAGAGCGGGTACGAAAACTACCAACCGGCAGACTTCTCGTGCGCGCCCGACCGTCCCGCCGCCGTGGCCAACGACACCGTCAAAGCAACGGACTCCGGCATGCTCTTCCTCATGAACCACTTCCTGTACTGGAGACAGGCGTTCGGCATCGACGTGCCCGATGTCCGCAACGCCAACGCCACCAACGGCGTCGTCGGCGTCGGCGCGCTGGGCACACAGCTCGTTGATTGTCGGAACGTCTATGGCAGGTATCCGACGTTTGTGTTGGTGGATTTCTTCGATGCTGGGCCGGCGATTGAAAGTGTGGATTTCGCGAACGGGGTGAGCGGGGCGACGGAGGGGAGGAGGAAGACGTTGGTGGAGAGGAAGGCTTCGGCGGCTGTTGGGAGGTCGATGAGTACAAATTTGGTGGCGATGGTTGCGGCTGTTGTTTTCCTTGTTGTTTCGAGTTGAGCGTTCTAAGCGTTTTTTGATCAAGCATGCAATTTGATACTGATGATAGAACCGTAAATAAAAGAACCCTGTCTAAGTTGTTTACAGTGTCTTGTGCTCTGCTTGTTCTCATTGCCGAATTTATCTTCCTTGCCCTCTTCACCGATTTAACGATGTTCAAGCGTAAGCAAACATACTCTTCAAGACTTTCGCTTTTCCATGGACATTCAAATGGAAATGACAGGCTACCTGTCGATACCAAGGCGCCCAAGTTCATAGATTGCCCAGCTCTATTCAAGAACAGCTTATGTCCGTCTTCGATGCGTCTCGGATATTCTCACTTCCCTTCCACCCCAATCCGCCATCTAAGCACCTAGCCGTCCGTCACAACGAGATAACGCATAAAAAACTATAGTGTTCTTGTTCCCCGCATCTGCACTTATCTGTCGTGTCCCTGGCAAAATTAGTTCCCTTCATCTCACCTGCCACAAAAAGAAACTCCGTAGCATCAAAACCGCAGTCAAAAAGTCAAAAAGAATTGTAATGATGGGAGTGGGACTCGAACCCACGCTCGTTTCCGAACCAGGAGATAAGATGTTAAGGTGACCTTAACCTGGCGCCATAACCAACTCGGCCATCCCACCTGTTGTGGAAGAAAGCTCGTAGTGTATCCAATATAACCCACAAAAAAGTTCTGAGCACGACGATGGCGCTACAGCGAACACTCCATAGTGCAATCAGCCGGCATTTCCCGCAAGCGAGAGCCAGGAACTCCCAACCATGGAGCTTATTACCTAGGAGACTTGAGCAACAGCAAGAAAAGCCATCACAGCAGCCACGACGAAAAAACCCGTTGTTGTAGGTTCGAAGCGAGTGATTTTTCGGGGCGATCAAGTTTGCCGACTGACTCGTCCTCCCACTCACGCTGCACGGGCGCGAGGCAGCACACAGAGGTCGTTCGTCCGCCTCTGGCTTCCGGCCCTGGCGCCGTAAAACCGTCGACGCCAAAGGCTGTATTAGTGTTTTTCGAGTCGAGTGTTGACCAGCTGGACGGCGGGTTAACGTTATGGGTCCGTTGTGTAGACTGAGGGTCGTTAAGCTGGCGACTTCGGAAACCATGTGGACGGATAGCTTAACGTTAACGTTAACTTGTCATGCCGTTGACAAGCCCACGCTCGTGCGGATTGGCTTCGACCGCTCGAAACAGACTGGGTACTGATGACCAGGACTAGAGCGCGTGGGTATGGATGATTTGCTTCCCGTCTATATGGTTGGTAGCAGACACCACCTCAGCAGGAAGCCTGAGTTGAGAAAGCCAAAAGCCACGAGGACAAAACCACTCCCTCAATAAAAGCACTGCCTATCAGCCTTGACCGATAAATCCCGCCACCCCATCACTCCTCCATCGCATCCACTTCCGCAACATGCACGTCCAACATTTCCCCTTCGATGTCCCCATCACCCCCATCCCTCCCCTTTGCAGCAAGTGAATTGGTAACGTCCTCGGTTTTCACCTCTCCCGCTTGCTCCTCACCCACTCCCTCCTCCTCCCTCTGTACCTCCCTCCTTCTCTCCTTCATCCCCCTCCAAAACGCGTCGACGGACTGCGGATACCCTGTCAACGCGACCGGGACCTCCCAAGCCGGGAGATGCTGTTCCGCGCGCTGGAGCCAGAACTGCATGCGTCGCTTGCTCTTGGCGGCAGGCGTCTGGGTATCGGTCGAGAGGGTCGAGAAGTGGGCGACGAAGACGCCGGGGCGGAGGGGCGATGGTTTCCGTGGTGAGGAGGAGGAGGAGGAGGAGGAGGGAGTTTCCGTACGGGCCACAGAGTCATCTTCTTCGTCTCCGTCTCCGTCTTCGAAATCTCCTTCTTCGTCACCGTCCTCATCGACTCCATCTCCATCTCCATCTCCATCCCCGAACCCCCCACCCCCCTCACCACCAAACCAATGCCCCGGCACCGCCACCACACCCCCCCTCCACCTCTCCCCCCCGCGCAACCTCCTCAAAACCCCATCCCCATCCCCATCCACCCCCGCCTCCGCAACCACAGCGCCGAAGAGCCTGACAGCCCACTCGGCAACCCTAACAGCAAAAACCGCCAAGCCGCGCCCCTCCTGACACAGCATCTCGACCCCATCCAGCCCATCCCCCGCCGGCGGCAGAAACAACTCCAACCCCACCCACGGATTCAACACCACGACGCCGGCGTCGAACCAAAAAACCCAGTCCACGCGCTCCGGCGCCGGCTTCGCCAACTCGGTCAGCAGCAGGCTGAGGACGTGCGCGTGTTTGGTGCTGGCGGGGCCGAGGAGCGCCGTGTGCGCGACGTGGTGCGCGTAGCCGTGGACGGCGTTGTGCAGGGTGTGGGTGCAGAGGGCGCGTTCGAGGGACGGGTTTTGCGCGCCCGAGAGGTGCGAGGCTTTGGCTATGCGGGGGACGGGGGGTTGGTGGTGTTTGTGGGGTTGGTGGGGGGAGGGGGGGAGGTCGGGCGGCGAGGGCGGCGAGGGAGAGGAACGGATCGTCGTGCCGTAGTAGTCTTCGTTTTCGCGGGCCGCGCCGGTCCACGGGCGCCAGGAGGAGAGCTTGGAGGCGAGGTTGTGGTGCCAGGCTGGGTTTGGGGGCGAGGTGGTGTTGGTGGTGGTGTTGGAGGTGCTGGGGTGAGTGGGTTGGGGGTTTGTGGAGGGGTGTGTGGTGGTGAGGCTGTCTGGTCTTGGGGGTGGGTAGGATGGGTGGGGAGGTTGTCGTAGTCGTAGTCGTAATGGGGAGATGCAGTTGAAGATTACGAGAGATAGGATTATGCTGGCGGCGAGGAGCGCGGCTTTGGGTCGGTGGCACTTGATTGCTGCCATTCTGTTGCGCTGTCATGCGGATTCGCAACGGCAGTATGCGCTCCAGTTATTCACCGTCTGCGAGGCTGGATGGCGACATTGGCGAGGGGTATTCATCATTGCCCTCGTGCTATGTGGCTGCGCGTCGATGGCATTCGCAGTCACTCCATCCCTAGATGTAATTGTCAGCCTCCTGTAACCTGGTGGCGAATCTGCAGGCGCGTCGAGAGTCACTATGGAGAATCAATCTCTCGGAATCTTCCTGGCCGCGGGGCTGGGGTGTCACAGTTCGTTCCTGCATTGCCCCTTGCCTGGCGGCCGAGGTGCAATCCGGGACCAGCCCTAGACAACGGCTCCGGACAAAGGAAAGCAGAAGTTGGGAGATGAAAAATGATCCGTGATGGATTTCTATCAAAGGTGTCAATGTACGCAGGTAATGACTAAGTGCTGAGAAGAAAAGAAAAGAAAAGAAAAGAGTTTAGTTGTCGTCAGAAAATGATTGCATCCTCCTCCAGTTCCCTCAACTGTCGGCGCAGGGCTCGCACTTGTTCTCCTAGTGCTTGCATTCGTTCGCTCAGTGCTTGAAGTTGCCGGTATTGGTTTCTGAGCATGACCATGATGGCATTATGCTCAACGAAGGACTCCGGCTCAGGAGCGGAACTTGGGCCTGCGATGCTCATACTTCGCAGATTTCGCCTGTGGCGGTCATCCTGGTCGTTGAGGCCAGTTTGCAACTGCTGCATGTCATTGCTCAAGTTCCCGAAGTTTGTCTCCAAGGTGTTGACTTTAGCTTCGATGCGTTGCGTTGCCCCCATATCAAAACTCCGCGTGACCAGGCGAGGTTCGGGCTCCAATCTGGCGTGCGTACGTGTTGGCCTCATAGAATGGCGACTGGAAGTAGCCCAAGCGGGAGGCTCTCTATGCGTCAGGGGTGCCATGTTCACTGGGTATTGCCAAGGGCTGAAAGGTTGAGCACCTCCAGATGTCGTTCCCGTAGGCGCTGGGTTCGACGTAGCGGGGTTGGCCTTGCGACTCACTTCGTCTCTGCTTGAATCGAAATCGGACAAGGGATCCAGAGTGGAAGGATTCTCGCTCGTGTTTGCAACTGCATCCTCGATGTGTTCGTTGGTCCATGCGGGCCTTTTGCCCTGAGACTTGGTCGTCTGGCGACTTCCTGACGGCGTCGACATGGTGTATCTGTGCTTGAGCTTAAAGTCTCGTAGTGGGTTCTGGAGGACGATCAAAGAAGATAGAGCCGTATTTAAGGAAGGGGCCAAGCAGTAGAAGACAGCGCTCTGTTCTGCTGTTGCGAACTCACTGCCACATCGTGAGTGTACTGAATCTAGATGATCTCCTACCTGTTAGCACGGTGTTGGTCAACCAGCAGACGGACGGCGGTTTGACAGATAGAGGCCAATTCTACTCGCTGTTTGAACATCATGGTCAGTTTCAACATGTGGTACCTCGCTGGCATGAACGTTGTCGAAGACTTCGGCAGCATCCGTCGCTATGCCTGAAGATGGCGGAAGACGTTTGGTTAAGACATCGGCGATGGGAAGCCCAACCGGGTGGCGCCACTCGGCCTACACTCTTGACGTAACCATCAGCAAGAAGTACCACGGATGATGGAGGTAGGCTAAAGCCGGAACAACGACTATCGCAGTGACGGAGTGTCGTGCCGTTGGGCGTCGGTAGCGACACTGGCCGTCATCGCATACTACGGCCCGAGACGTACGGACTGCGTTCGTAGGATGGCGTGTGTCCAAACGCCGCTGGAGAGGGATCTCCGGAACTCTGCCAATGATGGGGCAAAGTGAGCATTGATGATATCGGAGCGGCAGGGTGTTGTGGTGGATGGGGGTGGATGGGGTGCTGGTGGACGGGGTGCTGGTGGACGGGGCCCTGGTGGATGGGGGTCCTGGTGGGTAGGCGACCACGCGGCGGCCATGCAGCGTGAGCGACATGCTGAGTCGCGCGCGCATCGTTTCCTTTGTCGCCCACGTCTTTGCCCCGTGGTTGTCTTGATGCGGCAAGAGACAGCCCAGACAGGTCATCAATATGTTGATGTGATGAGTCCGAGATGAGTTCGAGATGAGTTCATCTTAGCGAATGGATTCGCAGACCGGTATGACGGAAGGTGTGGCGGACGATTTCACAGTGTCGCTTGCTTGAGGTCACGGCTGGGGGTTTCCGGACACGGCGTGTGGCCGACAGCAGAGGAGAGGCGAGGCGGGCGGGTGTGGAGAGCTGTGAGAGCTGTGAGAGCTGTGAGGCACTTGATGGATGGAAGCCAGGAAGTGGGCGGTCTCGATAGTTGACGGGCTACTGCAAAGTGGCAGGTTGAACTCCAGCTGTGATTAGCTGAAGGCAAAGAGTCTATCTACATAACATACAGTCCGGCAAGGCTCCCTCGTGGGCTTCGCGTGCCACGTGCTGGCATCGGATCAAAGTGTGCTCAAGTGTGCTCAAGTGTGCTCAAGTGTGCTGATTTGCCGGCCGACCCTTGCCAAACCGACCTGGCGCGCTACTCCCTTTGCCCTTTGCCCTTCGCCCTCGACTGTCGACTGTCGACTGTTCGCCCCCGGCCGGAGTCTCCATCAATAAGCCCCAGCCAGGACAGGACAGGACAGCAATACCGCCCAAACCACCCACACTACCCACACTACCCAGACTACCCAGACTATTGAAGCCAAATCCTCGTTATTTCCGCTTGCCGCCCTTGTCTGTCTTACTTACTTACCCTCGCCTGCACTCTGTCTTCTGTCTTGTTGTCCCAGCTCACACATTCGCCCACTCTCTCCCACAACACACCC